TAGTCTAATGAAATTGATATTAAGATATTTGTTATCATAGAAAGTGTTTTAAAAGATGAGATTCTTATCATGAAATAATATAAAAACATTGAAATCTTAGATTCATTAATATATCTGTTTTGTTACGAAACAATAAATAACTGATTAAATCAATCGCGACATTCTTTCGATGAGTTTCTTTAAAATTTTTTATTAGATTTCTTTCTCATAATTTTTCAATCGAATTAAAATTGGATGAAAACTATCGCACAATTTTATCCCTCATCCTTCATATTTTCAACTTTAATTTATTCCTCGGTGTCAAATTAACATAATGGTAAAAAAACTAATATAATACAAATGCTTTTATTAACAATATTTTTCGTTGAAAATAGATTGGATTTCTGTTTAATCACGTATAAAATTCATACAATTTTTATTCTTTCATATAGCTGTCCAACTTCATAGCCTATGTTCTTTAACTTTGTCTAATATTATGGTTATGATATTAAATTATTCTTTTATTAAACAGCATTTTTTATCAAAAATATAAATTAAATTTGTATTAGAGTTGTTTTGAATTTTCACTCATTACAATTAAAAATAGGAAAAAATCCCTATTTAAAAATGGGGATGTTTGACGTTGAGGAGATGGTGCATTGAATGCATAATAATAATAACAATTAAAAGGCAATGTACTGCCTGTCTGAAAATCAATATTATTGATCTACAATTTGGGCAACATATTTTGTTATTTAAAAAAATCTCAAAAATGTATGCTATACGTTAGAGAAATAAATGCCACAAAGTCTTTGTATGTGCATTTATGAGCTGCAAGATAATATAAAATTTCATGATGAGGTTCAATGTCATTATTAGTTTCTAATTCCCTAAAATGTTTAGTTAATGGTAGAATATGTGTGGGATCATTCAACAAAATATATAATAATATATAATAGATTTTTCAAATAATTGTATTAATATATCATTGCCACACCATTTATCCAAATTTGCTTAGTGACCGGAAACTTATAGACAGGAGTGTAATATCTGCAAAAGTATACAAAAGCAAATGTAAAAGGCGCCAATGCTCATCACGAATCTCTATTCAGACCTCGTTCCTTGTAAATTCTATTTGTAAAGCCGACGAAAATTTGCGTAAATATCTACAGTCTAGTGGTTTCACTTACATTCCTCGACGAGGAATATAAGTGGAACGACAAATGCGACGAACATCTAGTTTTTAAACCGAGATTCAACGTGTACAAGCTGAATCCTGTAAACGACTGCAACGGATTAAGCGAAAGTTAAGCGTTCGAAATTTTGACTTTAGATGACTATTTAGGAATTGAAATATCTATTGGTACAAATTCGCGCGAGCATAAGGCTTAGAATTGATCCGAGGCGAATTTGTATCGATCGGTGTGCGCGAGTCTCTTGTTCGTAGGTTGAAGTTTAACGATATTTCTAAGTGTTTTTACTTCTGACTTCTAGACTCAGTGAATTACTGTACCGCGAACGAAAGCATCGGGATGTTGCATCATCCGTAGAAAAAAAAAAAAAAAAAAAAAAAACACCTGTTTCACATAGTCGTTGTCACATCGCGTGCAGCGAGTTTTAACGTTAAAACATTGTAACGGTAGATTACGCCGCCCATGCAATGGTCTATTCATTCGGCCGTTAGCAGATTGCCAAAAAGAAGGGAGAGAGGAAAACAGAAAAATCGCGAGAGAAAGAAAGAAAGAAAGAGAGAAAGAGAAATCACTTTCTTTCGTGAGTACACACGTTTCGCGATGAAAGCGTGAGAAAGTGGGAGCACAAAATCATATTTAGAATCTTTTAAAAAAAAAAAAAAAAAAAAAAAAAAAGAAGAAAAATCAAGACGAGAGTAGAGAGAAGAGAGAGTAAGTGAGGATCGCGTGAAAGGGATAATCTTGTAACTCTGTGTGACTGTTTATAATAAAAATCGGAAGAAAGGGAAAGGAGAGGAAAGGAAGTTGGCATGAGGAGAACACGATTTTCTGCTCTATCATTACTTGTATTTACAATACACATTTAGCATAGTGGAAAGTAAGCTACGTTTTTAGCGTAATATCGACGGATATCATCGTTATTGTATGTATGTGAAACTGAGGAACCGTGATGTGTCGTTTTTCTTTTCTTCTTCTTCTTCTTCTTCTTCTCTTTTGTTTTCATTTTCTATCTGAGAATGTTGAAAGATACACGTAAATAACCGATTGCTGTGTGAACTCGCAAGATTTTATCCGGTGAACTATACTAGCCATGTCTTGTAACAAAAAAATAAAAATGAAAAAAAGAAAAAAAAAAGAAACTAAAAAGAAGTGTATGAAAACGAGCCCGGAGAACGAGTGCCGCGTAGAGATTCGTGAAAATCGATCACGGACAAATAAAAAAAAGAAAGAAAAAAAAGATAAATTTACGATTGTCGCGTGCCGAAGCGAGGCACTGCGGAAACAATTTTTCTGGTGCTATTTTTATATGGGATACGTAGCGACGACGTTTCGTGGCGGGCACTCCTTCTCCACATTTTTCAAACACGTCGAATGAACAAGTATGACATGGAAACTTTGAACCGTTGCAAAGAAAGGACATGCTCTTTCTGTTGCCTTCTAGAGACCGCGAAAGATAAGTTCAAGTTTTTCTACGATTATTGCGGTCGGTTCACCTTTTGCTGGTTCTACGTTTTCAATCGTCGATCGTGTCTATTGTTATTGGAAAAATTTCACCTCAGAAATATTTTTTCATATTCGTAGTCAAATTTAGAATTTATGATATT